CGGTGTTTGCCATCGGGATTGGGTTTTCGTTGCTTGGCAACGACGTTGTGAAACAAGCCGATTCACTTCGTGAGCTCGGCAACCAGGTTACCGTTTTCTTTTTTTTACCTCTGTTTTTTCTATTGGCGGTAACCATAATGGTGGTCGAGTAGATCATGTTGTGCGGGGTCGAGAACCCTCACTCCGCGCAAGGGGGATGATCGCACCACGTTGTGTTAAAATGGTCAAGCACCCTCGAGGCAGTTACACAGTGCTTACAACTGTCTCTGGAAGTGAAAGCACCAGAAAATAAATTAAGTCATACGCAGCTGTCATCCGTACGCAAGGAAGTAAGCACAAGATGCCGAACACCCTTAGCAGGATGCAGCGCACCCTTCATGCGACTCGCCGAATATCTCACGGCGCTTCGCGCTTGGTGATGTGAGAGCCTGGTCCGGTGAGAACCCGGCGTGCTCCGTTCCGGCTTTGTAGGGATGCGAGGTCAATGGTCTAACGACTAGGGCATGCGCGACTATGAGTACACCCCCCCCGCTTCTGTTTTAGACGAAGATGTCGGAAGGTGAAACGATGAAGACAAGTTCAAATGTTATTGCGGCTCCGAGTGCGAAGACCATGTTCATGTACTGTAGCCGAGGAATGTCGGCTGTATACAAGGAGAGGGAAGTGTACGTGACTGAGCTGGAAAAAATGGAAGGGACGTACAGGGAGATGTTTGAGGCATGGAATAGAGAGAAAGGACGGTAGCTGTATTGGGGCATTGGAGGTGGGTTGAAAAGGCGGGAAGGGATATCGGTAGGATGGATAGACTAGGGAAGACATTTTTGAGCCACCTTTGGCAAAGTAGACAGGAACGATTGGCCATCGGTGATCGGTCCAATGCTCCGTCCTCTCGAGGACGCGTGGTCAATGGTCTAACCGCTAAGACATGCAAAACACAAGAGTACGCCCCCCCTCCTCATCGCCCTCATTTTGTCCGGTTTATGGCTTTGTGTGTTGTCCTCAACCACGCGGGCGTGGCCACCAACAAAGGTCGACGTCAAGGCCGCCGCACCATCAACAGCACCTGCAACCGCGGGGCCATTGTTGCCGGCGCCTAACGGTCCCGCGTCAGGATCCGTGTCCCTGGCAGGGGTGAAGGTGCTGGTGCTCGACATCGAGGGGACCACCACCCCCATCACCTTCGTCAAGCAGACCCTCTTCCCCTACGCCCAGTGAGCCAGCCTTTCGTCGTCTTCCTTTTGTAGATTCCACGATGTTGTTGTATGAGGGGGGAGGGAGGTACGGTGTTTGATTTTTGTTCCGCCGTCCCCCCGTCCCGCGGCTAATGCGACCTGCGCGGTTACTAAATAACGTCCGATATAGGGGTTGCAGTCGATTTGGCCCGGAGATTTTTTTTGTTTCTGTCTGCGCGTTGTTTTCCCCACCGACTGCTGTTTCGTCGTTCTCGGACCCCAACAAATTGTCCATCCATCCATGATCATTGTGAATCTCGGCACCCACCAACATAACGTTCACGACCACCAACTAACGCCAATCTCACCTCTACTACCACCACAACGACAACGACAACGACAACGATGACGAAAAGGGAGCACCTGGCCCGCCACCTAAAGGACCAGTGGGAAAGCGAGGACTTGCAGCGACTCGTGCGGGAGCTCAAGATGCAGGTGAGAGAAAGCATTTCATATTTCATTTTGCCCATTCCTTTACGGCGTAGAAAGCCCGACGACTTAGCACTTAAGACACCGGTCGCCCCGGTGGTCTAGTGGGTAGCCTCGCAGCCTGCTAAGGGCCAGGTCATGGGTTCGAGTCCCGGCAGAGAGAGTTTTTTTCTCACTAAATAAATCCTGGTCTAGGATGAAAGCGACGCGCTGCAAAGCTCGTTTGTTAGTAAACCATAATCGACTTCGTAAGTCGCGAGGGAAGGGATTGCTGTACCCTTCTCGCGATAAAAATACCTCAGGCATGAACCGCAGGAGGGGGTCCAACCCCCCCCTCCTATGTGACCCCGGTTGGGTCGTCTAGCTAGTAGAAGTGGAGGATAGGGGCCAGAGGAGCAGACGACAGAGTCCAATGATGGGAGACCAACAAAACAAAAAAAAAAAACTCTATCGGACAGGTTTTTTGCGTTCCTCTTCGGGGCATACAGCACCTGTTTACCTTAGGATGCTTAAAGGCTGGTGCTTGGCTGCCTCGTCGACTCTGTGTACGAACTGCGGATATACCGCCATGTTTTGAAGGTCGTGTGTGTGCCTTGTCCAAGCCGTGCAGTTAACGGATTTCTGGTTGCGCTTATTTTTGTTGTTGTTGTTGTTTTTCTTTTTTTTTTTTGTGGTGGTGCGGGCACTCTCAGCCGGCTCCGACACCGTTGAGTGCATTCCTCTGATACTGTTGTTGTTGTTGTTGTTGCTGCTGCTGCTGCTGTTGTTGTTGCTGCTGCTGTTGCTGCTGTTGTTGTTGCTGCTGTTGTTGTTGCTGTTGCTGTTGCTGCTGCTGCTGTTGCTGCTGTTGTTGCTGCTGTTGTTGTTGCTGCTGCTGTTGCTGCTGTTGTTGTTGCTGCTGTTGTTGTTGCTGTTGCTGTTGCTGCTGCTGCTGTTGCTGCTGTTGTTGCTGCTGTTGTTGTTGCTGCTGCTGTTGCTGCTGTTGTTGTTGGTGAGCAGGCGGAGAAAGACGCGGCAGTCGACGGCGGCACGCCCGGAGTCCCCCAAGTGTTGGAGCCCTCGTCCGCAGGGGTCGAGCAGGCGCAGGCTTCGGTGGCGGAGTACGTGCGATTCGTCATGTCTTCCGACAGGAAGCTAGGACCAATGAAGTCCTTGCAGGTCTGGTGGCATCGCTTTGTCGCGCTATGTAGCGTTGTGTGCGTGCTGCCTGCCGCTGCCGGCTTCTTTTATTTTTGTCCATCCTAGAAGTTATCATTTCTGCTCTAGTACGGCGTGCTCCTGTGTTTTAGTCGAATGTTGAATCCCCGTTTTTAGCCTTGTTGGTTTGTTTTTCCTCCTCCTGGGTGCTTGCGGGTTCGTTCGCTCGTGCACGTTTGCTCCACCGTCCGTTCGTCCGTCCGTCCGTCCGTCCGTCTGTTTGCAAGGGTCGAACACTCGTACACGCTTTTTTTCGTTTTCGATTATGGTCTCTTCCTCTCTCTCGCTCTCACAGGGTCATATCTGGCGGCAGGGGTACGCCGACGGCGGTATAGTCGGAGAGGTGTACGCAGACGTAGAGCCGGCGTTCCGGCGATGGACACAAGCCGGCAAGAGACTCGCCACCTACTCAAGTGGCAGCAGAGAGGTATGAGACCAGTCTTGTCCCATGCCTTGGACATAGAGAGGGCGGTTATGAAAAACAAATCGTGTTTCGGTGGATGGGTAAGGGCGTCACTGGGTGGATGTTGTTGTTGTTGCTGTTGCTGTTGCTGTTGTTGTTGTTGTTGTTGTTGTTGTTTGTTGTTGTTGTTGTTGTTGTTGTTGTTGTTGTTGTTGTTGTTGTTGTTGACTCGGACGCCTCCCGTGGTCGCAGGCCAATTACCCCAAGAGGGTACCACACACTGGTAGAGAAAGAGATGGCCAGTCGGCTCCATGCCTGCGTGTCAGGACGGAACGAGCCCCCCCCAACGCAAAGAGGGACTTGAGAAAGTTAACCCACCTATTATATAACAAACTATTCACCACGTTTGCAGGACGTTACGCGCTGCGAGGGTATGTGTAACCCCCCACCACGCCCTCGTTGTGTGCTGGAAGATTCTGCGGAGCATGAAACGTCCTCGCACAAAAACTTTAGTCATGCTGCCTTGGTTGCATTGCTGTTTACGCCTGTTCTTCGTTCCTTCCTACGTTCTGGCGCAGCGCCTTGGTCCCAGCCGTGCTTTGTACGGTGATAAGTCTAAATGTCAAGCCCCGAAGGGTTTTTGGGAGATTTTTCGAGCAAACATAGAAAGCACACATACATACCCTTTACGTCTGGTACCCGGCAATCCCCTCTTCGTACCACTCAATCACCCTGTATTTTTTTATAGCACCCTTTTGTTTATCATTTGTATATTTTCCAAGCATAAAAAAACTATCCCATGCACGTACCCTCCCTTCCCTCAGGCGCAGCGTCTTTTGTTCGGCAAGTCCACGGCGGGAGACCTTCGGCCGTATTTGTCGGCGTACTTCGACACGTCCATCGGAGGAAAGAAGGACTCTGCCAGCTACAGGTACATCGGCACTGGAAAGAAGGAAGGAAGGAAGGAAGGAAGTCCTCCTGCGTGTCCTAGTCTGTCTGACTACGCGTCCATTTTTGCTGGCGAGCGGAGTGGCCTAGACTACCTGTCGTTGGCTTCTATTGACTTGCAGACCCTTCGGGTGCATTTATACTGTCGTATACCTTATTTTGGGTAAGTTGACCTGTGACCACGGGAGTCAACCCCGTCAAATGTTGGACTAGTACGGACAGAAGACGGTACTGGGCAAAGAGAACGGAACGGTTTTTAATGTGAAGACGAAAAAAACAACAGATTGCTTTTTTTTTTGTCACCCGTTATCCCTCGCTTGCGGTTGTCCTCTTGCCCACCATCCTGTCTCCCTACGCGTCATGTTTCTTCTCCCTTGACTCGTTTTTCTAGTTAACCTTTTCTCTCCCGCTGACCTTCGTGGTTGCCTGCCTCCCCTTGCTGTTCCTCTTGACTGGCCGACGCCGGCTGATTCGTTAACGCAGAGAGATCTGCCTGTTCCTGGGAGTGGACAGCCCGTCGGAGGTTCTCTTCTTGACCGACCTTCCTGCCGAAGCGGAGGCGGCCAAGCTCGCGGGAGTCCGCGCCGTGCTTTCCGTCAGGCCCGGTAACGAGCCTCTTCCGGACGTGAGTGTTGGTGCCGGTCGTTGTCTGCCTGTGGCATGGTGGTAGCTGCGGTGGTGGTGATAGTGTTTTGCCATTGTCCAAGTGTCGTAGTTGACAATACACTGTTCTCCGAACTCATCGGACTAGGCTACCCCTCGATTTCTGACCCTTTTTCATCCCGTTACCATCCCATCTAAATCCCATGTACTCGTCTCAAATCCACTCCATCCAACCGCACCCGTTCTTCGGAACCTCCCCGCCGTCCCCGTCCCCGTCCCCGTCCTATATTCACTTCAAACAACCCGACCCGATTTCATCCCGTTTTGCATTCCATCCCATGCCATCCCGCTTGTATTCTCTTGCTTCCAGGAGCACCCGTTCGAGACAGTTACGGACTTCAACACGATAGCCTGAAGCACTGTCACCAGCAGCTATTCCAGCAACATACAAGCGTTCCACGGGAAAGCGTTGGTCTTCCACGGAGGAACTGCGCACGAACGATAGGTTGACGACAGATCATGTGTTGCCACGAACAGCGGTCAGTGGAGCGTGGCAGGCAAGCACACGACGCTCGACCTCTTCGTGGCGGGGGAGCCCGCGGGAGTTGCACACAGGCGGCGTCGGTGCTGTTTTGGCCGCCGCCGCCGCTGCGGCGGTCATACGTTGGACACCCTTCGGAATCACCCCCCCCACCGGTGTCTGCCATATTGTGTTTTCAATCTGCGCTCGGGGAGTGGAAAGAAGGAGAAAAGCAGTGTACCGTCGTGCGTCTGTCTGTTGCGTCTTCCTCTGTTGATGAGATGATTACCGTATATGACACAAGATAACACACCCCCTGTCAAAGCTCTATTACTCCACGACGAAGAGGATGCATAAACGAAACGATACATCTTCGAAAAGCTCTCGACGACACGGTTCAACGCCGCCGTTTTCGGCGCTGTGACTGTTCCTGCAGTTGAGAAATCGAGCTTCGAAAATTGGTCAAGGGGGTGTGTTATCTTGTGTCATATACGGTATCACATGCGGTGGAGGGCAGTCAGAGTCACGCTTGTGGGACCCGCAGCCCGGACAGAGAGATATTTCGTAGGGTGAGAAGTCAGCAGCTTCTGTTTGTTTGTTTGTCGACAGAGGTTAGATAGATTTGGGGGGTGTACTCACGTTGTGCATACCCTAGTTGTTAGGCCATTGACCCGGAGAGAGAGATGGCACGTAAGGGTGAAAGACAACAGCTTTAAAAACTAACGAAAGTAGGGAGATTGGTGGGAATACTCATATTTTGCACACCGTAGCGGTTAAACCGTTGACCACGCGCCCTCGAGAGTAGACGGAGCAGTGTTCCCACAGCACCGATCACCGATGATGGCCAATCGTCCCTTCCGATGGGGGGGGTTCAAGAACGATTTATTTGTCAAGGCGAAGGGCGAACCTTCCCTTGTCTCTCGGGGGTAGAATGCAAGCATCCGGTTAGGGTTAGGGTCTGCTGAATGCGTGTGCGCTTTTTCGCCTTCTTCCTTCTTCCTCGTGTGGGTGGAGGGTCTACGTGCAGGGCATGAGTGCGACCCTGGGGAGTAGTGGTGGTGGTTGGTTGTGTTGGGTGCAGGGAACAGCTGCGATAATTAGTCGATGGTTGTGTGCGCGTGTCACAACAGCTACGACGCACGTAGTTTGTTCTGCGATGAGTTGATCGTTGGACCCGCGTGTGTCACAACAGCTGCTCCGCATTTAGTGATTTGTTGTGGCCCGGGGGCGGCAAGAGGCCCTGCAGATGTCAAGCTGTGTGTTGGTGCCGCCTCTGTCTCTCGTGTGGAAGTATTGCTACCTTGGTCCCTGGGGTGTTTGTTATCATAGGTCGTTTGTGGCCATGGGTTCCCCTGGTGCTGGTGCTGGTGCTGCTGCCGGTGCTGCTGCCGGTGCTGCTGCTGCAGGAGAGCTGGGTTGTGTTGGGGTGGATCGATGACAAAAAACATGTGACACACGGTTCCCCGAAGTACCGGAGGGCATCTACATGTCGGGAAAAGCATGAAGGTGCCATTACACTATGTGTGTGTGGAGGGAGGACTAACGGCCGAAATGAGGTAAGGGTGTGTGAGCGTGATAATGGCTGCTATGTTGTGCAGTGGGGGCAGGGTTTTTGAGTATAGATGGGATCGGTTACGTGACTGTGCTGTTGTTCTTCGAGGCGTTATTTTGGGCGAGGAGAGTTGGGAATTTGTATTCGATGTGTATGTGGGTAGTAAGTAAGCACTCCGTGTGGGTTCTTCCGAGAAACCAAGTTGTGTTGATCCTCTTGCTCTGGCCCTTGTTTTTTTGTTCCTTCTTGTTTCCTTCGTGCCTGCCTGTAGCAGGAGGTGCACGAGCCATATACAAGCCCGGCCGAGGTGTGTTATCTTTCGAGTTTTCGTGCGTAGTACGCTCGAGGGCTCCCATGAGTGCTCATTAGGAGCGGGACTGCGAAGCCCTCCTGATTGATGTTGGCCGGACTCACTTCCGTCTTGGGGTCAGTTTCTTGTCGAGAATGGAAAGTTTGATTTCGTACGATGCACCCTTTTGCTGAGCCGGCGAGTGTCGTGTGGTCAGCTGTCAGCCTCTCGGTTGGTATTGGATGGGTTCGTATCTCGCTCGCAAGTACCGTAAGAGGCGGAGACATGGCACCCGCCTTAACCGATTTTGAAAGCTCGATTGCTCCACAACCACAGTTGTCTGTACCGTACCGTATACCGTACCGTGGTATTTCGAGGAGGCGGAGAGATGGCACCCGCCTTGACCGATTTTGAACGCTCGATTGCTCCACAACCACGGTTGTCTGTACCGCACCGTATACCGTACAGTGGTATTCCGAGGAGGCGGAGAGATGGCACCCTTTAGACCAAGTTTTAAAGCTCCTCCACAAACACGATTATTGTGCCAATACCAAAATTGGTGATTTTGGAAACATCTCGTCGAGGGCTTTTCGTAGACGTATGCATATATATCGGGCTCTTTCCGCACCTACTTCGGTTATGGAGCAAGCGATTCGAGCTTTGAAAGTCGGTCTAGAAGGGGTGCCATCTCTCCGCCCCTCCAGGCAAGATAAGCAGAGCGCGGTTTGCTGCGCCGTTGAGCGTGCGTGTTTGCGTCACATATAATTGCAATGCATTGTTTGGGTTCGCTGTTTGTTTCTGTTTGCATGAGAAATAGATTGAGCCAAGCGCAACTAGACTCCGACAAACCTTGGCTGGCAACTCAAGTTACGCTAGGGGCATGGTGTCTGTCACCTACTCGAGTGCACCATTACCGGTTGGTTTTAGCGACAACAGCGCACCCGCGAGGGTACCGTAGGACGCCATGGCTTCCCGCGCCCTGGCAGTGCGAAGGTAGGAGTTACAGGCGAACCGCTGGTCTATCATCTTTGATGGACTTCAACATCAAGGGAAATGTGTTCACGTGTGGACCGCAACAAAACAGTCAGTTAACTGTCCTTTTTTTTGGTTTGGTACGTGTGCTATGGGGTGCCACTCAGTCAAGTGTTGTGGGATAACTACTTGGTTTTATATTTCGTAGTGCTTGTTTTCGTTCTTCGGTGCTGCACACAGTAACATGTTGAACCAGGTGTATGTTGTAATAGACGTAGTTGTTGATGTTGGCGAACTCTTTGCTGCGAAGAGTTAGCTCACCGCCGTGGGGGGGGCGGCTTTTTTCATGTCTTTTATGCGTTTTTGATCTCTTTTGGGGGGGGGGCAGCAACACGGCCAAGTGCGTTAGAGGGGAGGACGCCATCGCATCATTCATCTTCAAGCGGAGCGGCAACAGCAAGCAAGCGTGTCAGGAATACTGGAGTGAAGACAAAAACCTATCTAGCAACACTAGTTGTAAGCGAAAAAAAGTCGCCCGGAGTTTTCTGATTGGCCAAAATTAAAATTAGTGCCCGCGGTGGAAGGGGTGGTGTCTTCCATGCGTGGTTGCGTGTCGGAAGTTGGTGTTCGAGCAGAAACGAAACCGAAGCTCGATGGATTCACAATGCGGCCGGCCCCTTGATGGATTCGGCTTACTCTGTGTTGTCGCCCAGACGAGACGACCTGGAACATGCGATTTCCTGCTTACGGCAGCCTCTTGTTCAGTTCTTCGTCTCAGAATTGTTGAGATTGGCGGTGATACCGCAGTCTAATCGTCTAATCGTCTTGTCGCAGGTTTTTATGAAGCAAGCATATTGCATAGATAAAGAATAGGATCGGTGGAGACTCGGGCGTTAGGGTTAGAGTATGCGTAGCCCCTGCCTCTCTGCTTCATAGATGAAACTATTTTCGTCCGCGAAGGCAGTCAGACAGACCTGGAGCGTGCATGTTCCATTATTTGTGGACGATCTATTTACGGGGGTTCTACCAAGACACGGAGTGGGAGCGGTGTGGAATCGATTGTCCGTACATATCCCTCTCAGAAAAGAGGGGAAGTAACAACCCAGATACAACAACGAAACCCAGAGCATGCACGCATGGAAGGCTTTGTGTCGTTGGTTTATCCCTTCGTGTCTTCTTCGTGCCCTGCTTTGTCCAATGCCTTATGCGTACGACGGCGAAAAATTTGAAGAGTAGTCTAGTTTTTTCTCCCTTCCTTTCTTCGCATACCAGCATGTACCCTGTTTTGCCCGTGTTGGGAGTGAGTCCCAGAAGAAGAGGAGGAATCGCCCCGAGTCTGCACGATAAGCACATCTACACATACAAAAAAGCCAAGAAAAAAAACAAACACTCGCTCCAGTTGACAATATGTGTGAAAGTCTTCGCACCAGCGAGGGTTGCAAGACTCCCCGCCCGACTCTCCCAGAGGGAGAGTCCACGAGACACATGAGAGAAGAGCTGGACGAAGACAACGACAGCAGTGGTTCACAAGTGACTTTTGAGTACCGCACCTCGCTTTATCCAGCGTGGACTGGGATGAGACACGTGCCCCTCGGCAGTATTTAGGTCCAACTAGATGCTGTAGCACCTGGATGCAAGCATCCCTGGGTAAAACCTCCGCATAAGAAGGGCGGGCTGCAAAACATCTACTCTTCTCTCTCTCGTCTTACATGCAACGTGTGATGATGCCACGTG